CGGAGAGCCCTACAAGAATTTTCTTCGACCCGCGGTCGGGCTTTAAACTGAGGATTGCCCACGAACAGCCATTACACGCACAAAAACACTGGTCACAGAGGAATGAGAGAAATTAACAAAAACATTACAAAGTAAAAAAGAAAGGCGGCTACGGCGATCGTAAAGTTGGGATAGCTAGTTTTAAAAAAGGAAAACGAATGTAATGGGTCTTGGACTAATATTATATTTGGGTATCTCCAGCACGCGATAGATGGAAACGAAAGCACACAAAATCAAAACAACCTCTTAGGACCATTAAAACTCCGGCTTTCACTCACCGTGATCGAAGACATGAGCCACTCTTCAACCCAAGCATTCAAATGAGCCTATGTGGTCCAGCCAGCTCTAACTCATTGCTGTAACCCATCTCTAGAAGCCCCATGACCGTGTTTGACCTTCTGAACAACGGAAGTTTCGGGCAGATTGGGCAGAAGTCAATCTAGAAGTACAACGCCACTTGGCCAGTATACTATCTTTTTTTCATTCTGTTGTTCTTAGAGGACCTAAACGGAAGGCAAAGAAAGCTTGGAAAGTCGATCGTCCCTTGAAGACCAGCTTCTCGAAGGGGCATGGAAAAAAGACTAATCGATGTCGACCACTTTGCCTTTTTGGGACCTCACTCATGACAATATCTTGCTTATGTCTTGCTCTGAAGAGTTCTGAAAAGTCTGAACATTACCAAAAACCTGAGGAAAAAATGAGGAACCCCAGGCAATCGGCACTTCCCTAACGGTGTAAGTTCGAAATTGGACGAGTTTTCCGCAACTTTCTGAAGCTTGTATCGGCTGACTTGGGCATCCCACAACAGCATAGGGGAATCAACATGCGTTTTCCTATTCGTGTGTTTGTCCATATCATAACTAGGTATTACTTTAATAAGTTGACATGATTCTATGGGCTACGTGATTCCTGAGTGTACGGAGTACACGAGACAACACACTAATTAAAGCCCTAACTTTATAATTTTCAGGTTGAATGACCACAGCAACAAGCATTGGAAAGAAGTTAGAGCTGTTAGTTGTGAAAATTTTGAACTGCTATTACAAATCCAAACAAAATCCTGGGCAAATATCTTCGAGTGGGAGGAAAAAAGGAAAGGAAGAAGAATGAATCAGAGCTCCAAATAGTAATTTAGCTTATTCACGATTATCACCGCTCTGGCATGGGTGCTGGAGGCGCTTTTGAGTACTCTATTTCATGAAAACCAGAATTCAATTTATAGAAGTCGACAAAAAGTATACGTACTTGGAGAAATCGAATACACTCAAACGGCAGCTGGCCAGTTGGCGAAGCTCGCAGATTTCTTCAGAAAAAGCGAGGACATATGCCCTTTAGGTTTTACCCTTCTCGACGGAAGCTAATGGGGTGAGTCGTTTGTAAGGAGCTCGGCTTTCTTTCAAGTTCTAGAACTGCATCGCGACTTCTGATAGAACGCTTTGTTTATAAGTGCGGTCGCCCTTGTACTAAATTCTTCACAGGGTTTGTAGTTAACAAAGAAGAGGTAAGCAAAAATTCCGTGAAAACAGCAAATAGCCTATGCGATCGTGAAAGGAAGAGGGTGAAGTCTTTGGCGTCGAATAATCTCGTTTTTGGGATGCGCCCCGCATCCGAATTCCAGTTAGAATCGTACTAGCAATCTGAAGGTTTTGACCTAAAATGAATTGCTGCCGCTAGTCGATATACGAGTTGGTGTTTTTTTTTCTCCAAGACAATTTTGGCACAAATCAACCGACCTCGGCAAGATGGAAGTCTTATTGTTAGTTGTCCTGGGCGAGTAATGTTCGGGGATTCGGCTCATGGACCATGCTTGTGTGACATTGTGCCATTTGCCATTACACCTTCCCCGCTCTCACGGGACCTCAGTAAGCATGGAAAAAACTGGGTACATTGTTGACTATTGGGGGCT